GTTGTTGTTGTTTAGAAGTGTTTTAGTTACCCTGGGCTTTTTGGTTTTCCATATGAAGTTGAAAAGTTTGGGTAACTTTTTTGACTACTTCTGTAGGACTTTCAGGTCTAGGTTTGAACTTAGAATTCAGGTCTCCGTTTAAATTTAAAATTAAAAGAATCCCACTGTTCCAGGATACATCCCAGGAGGGGCACATTCCTTAGTCAGAGAGCACTTGCTAGATTAACATTCAGAGGTAGAAGGGAGAGACTGATTAACATTCCTCAGACCACAGGGGAGGGAGCTGACCTGCAAGTGAGGAAGGCCTAGAGCACACAGACACATTCCAGGACACTCCTTGACATAATCTGAGTCACCTAGAGACCCGACCTTGGAAGGTCAGACTTTGTGGTTTGCCCTTGTGAACGCTGTATAAAAACTGTTCTCAGCTTTTGTTCGGGGCTTTCTTGCCTGCAAGCAAGAGAATCCTAGTGCACTAGTTTCATTAAACCTTATGTTATTGCAGCGAGTCCCATCCCTGTATCTCTGTGGGAGCGTGTCCCCTGGTTTTGGATCTTAGAGTCTAACACTTCTATTTCACTAGGAGTGATAAGTATATATGAATTGCTTATCTGGTCTTGTTTTAACTTTGGTAAGTGATACCTATCAGGAAAATTATCCATTTCTTCTACATTTTCCAATGTGGTGTACAGGTTTTCAAGTATAACCTAATAACGATTCTAATAACTCTCCTCCATGCCTGTTGCTATGTCCTCCTTTTTGATTTTGTTAATTTGGATATTCTTTAAGTGAGTTTGGATAAGGATTTGTCTATCTTGTTGATTTTTTTTCAAAGATCCAATTTTTTGTTTCATTATTTTTTGTGGTTTTTCCCTTTGTTTCTTTTGTTTTTTTTTATTGATTTCAACCCTCAGATTGATGATGTCCTGCCATCTACTCCTCTCGGGGTGAGCTGAAATTTTTGTTGTAGAGCTTTCAGATGACCTGTTAAGTTGCTAGCATTCCATCTCTCATATATAGGCTCACACTGTATGGACTTTCCCTTTGGCACCACATTGGGCATGCTGAATATTCGTTTTCATTGCATTTTAGAAAGTTCTTAGTTTATTTCTCTCTTGACCCATTTTACACTTGGTTGTTCTGGTTCCATGAGTTTGTAAGCTTTCTGCTGTTGCTAAAATCCAGCTTTAAGCCATGGTGGCCTGATAGGACGCAGGGTGTCATTTCAATTTCCCTTTATCCATTGAGACTTGCTTTGTGATTGAGTATGTGGTCACTTTGGAGCAAGTTCCATGAGCTGCTCAGAAGAAGGTCTATTCTTTTATGTTTGGGTAAAATGTTCTGTAAATATCTGTCAGGTCCATTTGGTTTATAACATTTGTTAGCTCCAGTATTTCTCCATTTAGTTTTTGTCTGGATGACCAGTCCTTATTTAGTTTTTGTCTGGATGACCAGTCCTTTAATGAGAGTGGGGTATTGAAAACTCCCTCTCTCAGTGTGTGAGAGTTAATATGTGATTTAAGCTGTAGCAATTTCTTTTATAAACTTGGGTGCCTTTGTTATTGAGCCACAGATGTTAAGAATTGAAATGTCCTCTTGATGGATTATTCCTTTGAGTATGTATTGTCCTTCCCCATCACTCTTGATTAATTTTGGCATGAAGTCTATTTTGTTAGGTATTAAAATTGGCTTGCTTCTTAGGTCCATTTGCTTGGAATATCTTTTTTCAATCTTTTACTTAGAGGTAAAAAATAAAAAAGGTTTTATCTTAATGCTGAGGTATGTTTCTTGGATATAGCAGAAGAGAATTAATACCATTGGCATATAGAGAGATCAGTGATTGTTGGTTTCTGTTATGTTGTTTTGTTGTTGTTGATGATGGTGATGGTGATGGTGGAGGTGGTGGTGGAGGAGGGTGGTAGTAGTGATGGTAATGGTGTGTGGGTGTGTGTGCTTTCCCTTATTTTGGTTTTACCACTGTAAAATTATTTGTTTCCTGTGCTTTCATGGGTAGAGTTAACCTCATTAGGTTGGAATTTTCCTTCTACCACCTTCTGTAGGGCTGGATTTGTAGCTAGATATTGTTTATATTTGGCTTTATTATATGACTTTATTGTAGAATATCTTATGTTCTCTGACTATGGTAATTGAAGGTTTGTGGCTGGGCACAGAAGTCTGGGCTCTGTGGGCTCTTAGCTTCTCCAGGAGTTACCTTTGAGAAATCAGGTATAATTGTAATAAGTGTGCTTTTATATGTTACTTGGCCTTTTTCCCTTGCAGCTTTTAATAGTCTTTTTTTGTTCTGTATGTTTAGTGGTTTGATTATTATGTGATGAGAAAACTTTCTTTTCTGCAATCAATTTGGTGTTCTGTGGGCTTCTTGTACCTTTATAGACCGTTTTTAGGTTAGGAAAATATTCTTCTATGATTTTGTTGAAAATATTTTTGAGGCATTTGATCTGGGAGTCTTCTCCTTCTTTTATTCCTATTATTCTTAGGTTTAGCCTCTTCATAGCATCCCAGATTTCCTTGATGTTTTGTGTCAGAAACTTTTTTTTTTTAGATTTAACATTTTCGTTGACCAATATACTCATTTCTTCCATCGTATCTTTGATGCCTGAGATTCTTTCTTTTACTCATGTATTTTATTGGTGAAACTTGCCTTTGTGGTTCCTGCTCAAATTTCTTAATTTTCTTGTTTCCAGAATTCCCTCAGTTTGTATTTTCTTTATTGCTTTTATTTCGATTTTTAGGTATTTAACAGCTTTATTCATTTCCTTTGTTTGTATTTTCTTGGTTTTCTTTAAGAGATTTATATTCTTTTTTGCCAACTGTTTGTTTTCCTGGATTTCTCTAAGGGGGTTATTCATTTCCACTTTGAAGACTTCCACCATCTTCAGGCAGTTGGCTTTAAGGTCTTGGTTGTGTGTGTGTGTGTGTGTGTGTGTGTGTGTGTGTGTGTGTTTCAACTATGTTGGAATATTCAGGGCCTGCTGTGGTGGAATGACTGAGCTCTGGAGGAGACATATGACCCTGACTACTATTGATTGTGTTCTTATGCTGGCATCTAGACATCTGGGTTTGGGGTAATTATGGATCTAGATGACGATTTGTCAGTTTGTCTCTGTTGGGTGGGTGTTTTTTTATTTCTCCTCTTTGGGTTTTTTTGGAGAGTGTGATGGCTATGTGTTGCCTGTTTTCCTGGTCTGCTCAGCTGGTGTATTCAAAGGGAATGCCTGCTAGTGTTGGAGGCTGGCATGTAGTGATGAGAGGAAAAGGAGGTTAGGAGGAGAAAGTCTGTGGGATCCATAGGCGATACGGGCAGGGCAGAGGGAGTCTAAAGCTGGTATTCTGCTACAGTGCTGGGGTGAGACTCTACCTTTAGCCTTTTGTAAACATTTGCGTGCTCGTTTTTATTGAAACACACTTTGGATTGATTTAGGTATGTACTACAGAATGGAGATACTGGATCACAGGTCAGTCTGAGCTTCAATTTATTGAAGAAGTGTCAAACTGTTTACCACAATGGCTGCGCCATGGATGTAGTGCTGCCCCTATGTATGGGGGTCCCAATTTCCCCACATCCTCTCCAAGATTTGTTGATTTCTGTTTTGGGTTTTACTTTTTACTAGGTAAAATTGTATTTGCTGAGTACACCATGATGTTTTGATGTCATTGTGGAATGATTAAATCTAGCTAATTAAAATTTATGTTGTCTCTCATCATTATCACTCTATGTTAAGAACTTTTCAGCAGTGTTTAGCAGATGTATTGGTCAACATTCTCTAGAGTAACAGAATTTATAGAATGAATTTATATAGAGAAAGAAAGAGGATTTATTAGAATGACTTAAAGGCTGTGATCCAGCTAATCCAACAATAGCTGCCTATGCACTAGAAGGTCTAGGAAATCCAGTAGTAGTTGTTCAGTCCATGAGGCTGGGTATCTCAGCTGGTCTTCAGTACATGCTGGAATCCTAAAAAGTAGGCTCTTATGCCAGTTAAGGAACAGACTTGCTAGTAAGGCAAAAGCAAGTAGGCAAAGAGCAATAGGTTCCACCTTCCATGTTCTTATCTAAGCTTGCATACAAGGCATGGCCCAGACTAGATGTGGTTCCTTCTACCTCAAAAGATCTGGATTAAAGGTGTTGTTAGTATAAGTCTGAACCCGGTGACATCATATTCAGGGGCCTGCGACTCCTACGTTGCTGGGACAACCACTCCCAGAATTCACCTACCTGACTCACCTACACCTGGGAAATTACACAGGTCATCACCCACTTAAATAGTTGGGACCACCCCCAACCTCTCTCTCTCTTCGTCTTCTCTTCACTCGCCATCTTCCCGTTCCTCTCTCCCACTCCCTTCCCCAAATAAACCCCTTCCCTTGGAACCGGATCGGATCGGCTTTGGTGTTGTCTGTCCAAACTGCGCTCGAATCCTAACAGGTGTATTTTCCCATCTCAAGATCTGGATTAAAGATTTAAAGATGTGTCTTCCTATCTTAAAGATCCAAATTAGCAGTAGATCTTTCCACTTTAAATTAAGCAAAAATTCCTCACAGATGTGTCTCTACTTTTTTGCTGGGGCAGTGGAGTGTTAATTAATTTCAAATGTAGCCAAGTTGACAACATTGTCTGTTGCTATTACAGTAGGCTTCAAAAACTCAATCTATGGCTGACTGTGGTCACTATGTGGTATAAGAGACCTCTTATGCTTATTATTCCTACAGACTAATCATTGTAGTTTGTGAACAAGTGTTCCCTTCTCTTTCATTCTTACAAAATTTTAATAAGTGTATACAAAATATAAGCAGTAAATCAGAAATGTTCGGAAGCTGATATATATCATTGCTAAGGCCACAAACTGATCCCAGAGACTTTGATTTAGTAAATGAACTATGCAACAATCTCCAGTTCAAGACCCACTAAGTTCAATGATGAAATCTTTATGCAAATGAATGAGCAATGACCTTACAACTACATTGTTTTATTTTTGTAGATTTAATAGGAGTGGGTGTCAACGTCGTGATTTTTCTTATGTGATTGACAAGTAAGAAATACTTCTAATATAAACGATTAACATGCAGCTAGCAGTTTATAGTCAGCTAATACTTAGTGTTTATAACACCATTGGTATGCATATTAAACAGTTTCTAAATTTAAAACAAAAATCCTGTAGAGATGACCCTTACCCTTGTTTGAAACTTATATGAGACACGTTAGCATTGTCTTCACTGATTCAGTTGGTTAAACAGAGCAAGTATTATTTAGTCTCAAATCCCGTATTTGTTTCTTCTAACTTAAGACAGACAAATAATAGCACTCGTTTCCCACCTCTCTTCTCTACATGACTGTGATGAACCTAGTTAGAATCGACATGCTTCCTGAGCTCACAGAGGAGAAGGATTCCATTATAGGAATAAATTAAAAATAGGGATTAACTGGAGTTTTAAAAGACACTTGTAGGGCCCAGAGAGACTGCTCAGTGGGTAAAGTCCTAAACCCACGGACATCCAAGCGCAGTAACATCCATTTTAAACTCAGTACGCTGACAGTGAGACTGGGAGAGGCAACAAGAGAATCTTGCAGACAAGCTGGACTGGCATACTCAGTGGCAAACAGCAAAGAGACCCTGCCTCCAGCAATGTGGAAGGGACGGACCAACTCCTGAGGCTGTCCTTTGACCTCCGAATGCATCACACACACACACACACACCACATTCATACAAATGTATAAATTCATTCAACACTGCCCTAAATTATGTTTTTAATTTTTATTTATTTGTTTTAACATTTATTTATTCATCCTATGTATATGAGTGCTCTATTGACATGTATACCTGCATGGCAAAAGAGGGCATCAAATCCCATTAGTTTGTTGTGAGCCACCATGCGGTTGCTGGGAGCTGAACTCAGGACCTCTGGAAGAGCAGTTAGTGCTCTTAACCACTGAGCCATCCCTCCAGCCTTTGCTTTTTGAATTGGAAATGAAGAATATGCAGCAGATAATAACAAATTCTTTTTTTTTTTTTAAACAGGGATCTTCTGAGAGACACCCTATCTGAAAATTTGGTAAGAAAAGCATAAATTTGTCAGTGTGATAAGTGGACACAACAACTGAAACCTTTTTCTTTTTATAGAAAGTGAGATATGATGTGGCAAAATACGGCTGCCCTCGGACACTTCAGTTGGAAGAAATGTTTCACCCTGTAGTAGAATTGTAAGTTTATACCTACTTGGGAAATTAATTTGTGTGCTGGAAAAATAGCTTGGTTGTTAAGAGGCCATTTTGTTCTTACAGAGGACCTGAGTTCAGTCCTCAGCTCCTACACAGTGGCTCACAATCACCTATAATGCCAAGTCCAGAGAATCTGATGCCCTGTTCTGGCCTCCTTGGGCTGGGAAGGGCTTGGCTTCTCTCAGGTGGAAAGGGCAACAATGGTAGCTTCATGCTTCTCTTTATTTTGTTGCCAGAGAGTTTGTACTTGGGTCCGGAAGGCTTCCTCTACTCTCACGCCTTGCTGCTTGCCTTCTTTCTGCACCCACCTGGCTTGTAAGGTTCTGTCAGGGGGCTTCCTACCCACATCACTCATCAAAACCCTGTGAGCTGTAGCCCTAATCTTCTCTAGTTTCACCTTCTAGTTTTCCTGAGTGTCAGCTCCTTGCCAGCAGGTCCAGGCAAGAGGAGAGAGGTCCCTGTCCAGCTGGGTATCTCTCCGGGGCTGAGCGGGATGGTAAGTGTCGCAAGCCCAAAAGAAGCGCACCAGGCTGGGAGTCTTGTCAAAGCAGGAACTCAACTTTAATGTATCAGCTTCTCACTTATATAAACTCAGAGCATAGGGAGGAAGAATTTTGGTGGGGTGAGATGACATAGGGGGCGGGGAATGATGACAGAGGGTATGGGTGACTGACAGGGCCAATGGCAAAGCTCTAGATCAGCAACAGCAGGACAGTAGCAGAGCCAAACGGGTCATGTTGAGTCACCCAGGTACAGAAGTGACTGAGACAGGTCTCAAAACTTGAGCCAGGCTCGAGTTTGTCCTCAAGGCCCAAACCAGGGCCAAAGTGGGGCCCAACACCTGGACACCAAGGCTCTCCCCACCCCTACTTGAAAACTAGTTTTGTGTTTGTTCCTTCTTTTATAACAAGGTTCTTATTTCTCCACAGTTAAAATAAATACACAATAAATGGTATAAGTCACATGTTCTCTCCCAATAAAGCTCTTTAATTCAGCTTATCAGCATTCAACACCCATTTCCCACCAACTACCACACCAGATGCTTTCCCCAAGTACTGGGCCAAGCACTAAGGATTCAAGGATTGAGAAGGGGATCTCTGCTCTCAAAAGACGGATGAAGTAAATACGAGAGCTGATATGCCAAGTTGTCCTATAGAAAAGAATGAAGTGGGGAGTAGGTATTGGAACACAGAAAGAATGAATCCACCCCAGCTATGAGGGGCCCTGCTTCCGGCTCTAGGAGATGTTCTGAAAATGTGCACTGGATCCTTAAAGGGTAACGAATACTTAGCTGGACACAGAGGGAAGGTGGAGAGAGCCTGGATATCAGTGAGTTGTATTGGAGAAGCCTTTCAACGAGAATGGAACTTTGAGGATGAAAATGTATTAACACACAATGTTGGGGCATATGTCAAGTGAAGAGCACCAGCAGAAGAGGCTGGAAAGATGACCTGGGGGATCCAGATCATGCAAGGCCTCCGTTCATTCCCTTCTTTTAGGATGGTCATGTGAGTGAGCATTTGCTTTAGCTCTGTCTCTCTGGATTTTAGGGGAAGAAGTCTAAGTAGGGAGACATGATAGTAAAATTGTGTTTAGGAAGTGGGGAATGATTGAAAAGGTAACATTGGCAAAGAAGTTCATCTCTGATACAAATGTGTTATTATAGCCAGGAAGAGTTGATTGCTGATATGTGTGAGTGGAGAGGGAGCCAATGAAGATGGATGACTCAGAGGTAGCCTCAATCAAATGTCCACAGCACATCGTTACACATTTGAACCATAAGCTCATAGTCACTGTATGTCTTAGGATTTCTATCGCTGTGATGAAACATCCTGACCAAAAGCAACTTGGTGGGACCAGGGTGGGGGTTCCGAGAGGCAGGAAGAAGGTTGGTTCAGCTTATAGTTTACAGTACATCATCCAGAGATGTCAGGGAAGGAACCTGGAGGCAGGAGCTGCCTGGTTTGCTTGGTCTGCTTTCTTAAAGAATCCAGGACCGCCAGCACTGCCCAGAGTGAGCTACCTCAATTATCAATCAAGAAAATATACCATAGGCTTAACCAAAGACCAATCTGGTGGCTGCATTTGTCCAATGGAGGCTCCTTCTTCTCAAATGAACCTAGTCTCTGTCAACTGACATAAAACCTAGCCAACACAACATAGATGAACTGTCCCCTTTACAAACTAAGAACATTGTTTCTGGATGTTCTCCTCTTTCTCGCAGATCATCTCTCTTCCCTCTCTATTAGAGTCCTCTGAGAAACAAAGCACACAGAATGAATATATATATATATATATTCATTTAATATAATATGTTTTAATATATACCATATCTATGTATATATTATACAAATATACCATAGGCTTAACCAAAGACCAATCTGATGGCTGCATTTGTCCAATGGAGGCTCCTTCTTCTCAAATGAACCTATATATTATATTATATAATATAATATTATATATATATATATATATATATTTATATATGTATATATATATATGGGTAATTAGACTGGCTTACAGGATAAGGCCTGAGTAGTCCAGCAATGGCTGTCTTCACACTAGAAGAGCTGAGAACCCAGAAGCTGCACAGGCCTGGAGACCAGACGCCTTTGAATCCCAGTCCAGCAATAAAGGCATGGAGGATTCAGTCCACGTCAGAAGGCTGAAGCAGCTGAGTTCTGATGTCAGTGAAGGAAGTCAGAGGCAGCTCACTAGTAGAGCAAATAAGGCCAATGAACACACTCCCAGGACACAAAGGCAGAGAAGTGAAGAGGAAAATCTTTCCTCTTGTATCTCCTTACACTTGTGCCACTGATGGAAGGTACTGCCCACCTTCCAGGTGGTAATCAAGAAAATCCTTCACAGGCATGCTTGTGAAGCATTTAGATTAACCTAAATTAATTAATCTAAATTAATTCCTCACAGATGTGCCCAGAGGCTTACTCATGGACGATTCTAGATCCTGGCAAGATGACAACCAGTATCAACCATGACACCCTGTGTTCTAGATGTGCATTCACTAGACAAAAGAACAGCAAAAAGAGCCCTCTTGATGAAACAGCAGCTACTGTATGCACTGTCAGACTCTTCCCTTGTCCGGCGTTTATGCTCCTCTAAACGCAGATAAGACCTAGTTAAGATAATGGATCTCCTCGAGAAGATAAGTAAGGAGGTCTCCTCAATTCCCAAAGTAGGACTTCCACAGAAAAATTACCAGCAGTTGGAAATTTAGCTTCCAATTAGTGAAATTCCTGAGTCCTCGGATTTAATTAGAATTCTATTCCCCCTAATGAAAATGTATTATATTATAAGCTCATGGAAGCAAGTCTCTCTGGCACTTACTCATAGTGAAGCAAAATTCCAAAATGATGGATTGTGCAATGCATGCTTTATCCACAAGATGGCACTGCAGTTCTTTGCACTACTTCTCCTGATGACCCTTTTGTCCTTAATCATTTTACAATAAATTCTTCAAAAAAAAAAAAAGTAAACAAACACAAATAAAACTGAACATTCATTGGAGGGGGAAGTTGTCAGACCACTTTCAGAGCTGGTTCTCTCCTTCCATTTAGTGGGTGCCAGGGATTAAACTCAGGACATCAGACTTCGAAGCAAGTGTTTCTTCATGCTCAGCTATTACATTTCATCCACTCCCAACTCTTAGGAAATCAGGAATTCTACCGTTAATTTAAGATGTAATCAAACTCCAGATTCCACCAAAGCTGCTAGCTTTTGAGCTTAGCTAGTCCTGAAACTACAAACTTGTGAGTGCCCTGGCATTCTTCTGTGCCAAGAGGCCAGAGTACTCACCTGAGGATGTTTCTTTGTTTTGTTAATTTTCTGTTAATTTCCTGACCCAGACACCAAGCCACTGCCTCTCCATCACACCTGTTTGAGAGCTGAGTTTCAGAGCTCTTTATGGTTTCTCAAAACTAGTAAACAGAGGCAGAAATGGCTTCCCGGGAACTGCTGTTTAACACTGCAGTTTTCCTCTGCACTTTGAGAGAATGGGACAATGACCAGTTGTGCTAACCAGCGGTCCTTACCCAATCTAAAACCAGGGTCCAATAGCTTTCTTTGAAGGGAAGCAGAGACCTGAGCAAGGAACAAGACAAGGATCTAGTCAAGGTATTCAAGACAAGGACTTAGTATTATCAAAGAACAGCAACAAGGATCTAGTAGTTTTTGTAAATCAACACAGAGCTTTCAAGTGATAAATTGTCATTTAAAAGTGGAGGTACAGTCCAAGAATTAGGAGCCTGGAAGCAGAAACTGGATACTACAGTCTGAGTTTCCAGGGAAATTCCCACCCCATGAGTATACGAAGACAATTTCATTCCGATATCATGAGCAATAAGGAGTCTGGAAAGTAGGAGGAAGGGGCAGGCTCAGAAATTCAAGGCCATCCTCAGCTATGTAGTGAGTCCGAGGCCAGCCAGCCTGAACTATGAGACTCTGTCTCAGAAAAGAGAGGCAAAAGGCACGGGGAGAGAAAGCAGGAAGCCGGGAGGGGGAGATGCAGAGAGCAAGCAATAATTGCTGGAGAAGATAGCTGTGTAACCATTTGAGTTCTACAATGCAAAGGTGTAAAGTTATTAATAACTGTATCTCTGCTCTAAAGCCTTTATTTATTTATTTATTTATTTATTTATTTATTTATTTATTTTTATCTATTAAAACTGCATGGGTCTATGGGATGCCTGGTTCTCAGCTTGGTGGGGCTAATGTGTCCTGTGCCAGTATCACAAGGGAGTACCCAGCCCATGCAGGACTGTGACCCTGTCTACTGCTGCTGTGGAGACTCTTTCCCAGCCTTACGTCAGCTCTTCTGGATGCTGACTGCAAGATTCAGTCCGTATTCCAGCTGGCACCTCCTAGGAAGCAGACAGGAAGTCCAACCTTCAGCACAGAAGCCTGTGGTTTCACTGTCCACTGCATGACATGTGGTTTAATGACACCCTTTGTTCTTCCACTTGTCCCATCGTCTCTCCCGTGTCATCAGGACCTCACCTAGTCCCCACTTCATCAATATGTGGTCATTAGGGCAATAGAGAAAACTTATGGTTTTGATTCTCCTTCTTCTGTACCGTTAGGTTCTTATTTTCAATAACATCTGCTCCATGAGGGCTGAACCTGGTGGTGCACACCTGTAATCTTGGCACTAGGGAGATGTACACGCCAAGAGCAAGAGTTCAAGTCCAGCCTTGACTCCACCGTAAACTCAAAAGGTTCAAGATGAGCAGAGGCTGCATGAGATCCTGTCTCAAAACAAGGCTCATTTCTTTCACTCAGTTGGGGGCAGTAGACCTAGCCATTAGATACAATCATATCACAGATAAACATCTGTAGGAGTTGGGGAGTGCCAGGAACTTCCCCGGGGTCAGAGGCCAAGAAGCGATAAAGATGGGATTCAACCACCATGAACGGAACTTTCTTGTGATCCCAGCACTTGGGAAGCAGAGATAGAGAACCATGATCTCAAGGGTCTCCTTCACTTTATACTAAGCTTAAGGCCTACCTGGGCTATCTGAGACACTATCTCAAAAATCAAGTAAACAAAAAAAGATGAACACCTACCTGCAAGCTGCATGCCCTCTTCTTGATACTAAACTATCATTTTTGTGTTTGTTGTTTCAGGTATGATGAAAATGGATTTGTTAAGATAGTTGACACAAATTTTATCCTGTGGGAAATCCATGGCAGGAACGACTACACCTTTAATTCTACTATGGAGGAGGTATGGCATCTTTAAATTTAAACAGACTTTATTGAACATGCAATTAAATGTATCCTTCTGATTTTTCAATTTGTATGTAAATTATTTAAGGGAAGTGAAACCAAGCCATACATAGACAAGAAAGCCAACACTATATTAAAGTCAGTGACTTCTGAGATGCATCTCTGAAAAAGAAGCAGCTGCTGACTACAAAACAGACATAAGAAAAGTCAGGAGAAACAAAATAGTGTAGCAGGAAGGTGATGTGGTCATAAAAGAACATTTTCTTCTCTATCTGAAATGTGTTGAATGTTTAATTATAGATGGGTCTGCTTTTCACTTTAAGACATTGGTGCTAAATAAAATGGGTACTCTCCAGGTTTCATCTTTAACCATATCTTTGCACCATTTTACTGTACTGGCGTTGGCTTCAGTGTCTCTGTGCCCTCTTTCTTCCATCCTCCAAGACCAGCTGACCTTGACCTCAACCTAGTTCACCCCCCTGTTCTGCCTTTTGTCCTTACTCTTTGCAGACTCTGTGAACTTTTATGTCTTGAAGCCTTCCCATGGATATAGACCCTTCTAACAGTTAACAACAGGATTTCTTAAAAGTCCTTTGAGACCACAGGCTCAAAGAAAATCAGAGTGACTCCTTTCCATGTGACTTTTTTTCTCACTAGAGATTAATTATTTGAGATATAGCACTCACCTAGATGCCAGCAAGGAGAACTGAATTACATTTTACCACTGTGGAAACACACTGTCTTTCAATTACATCACTGAATAAATCCATCATGTTGCACATTCCCATATTTGTTTTCAGCATCCAAGATGAAATACCTTCATCCCCATGGGTTCATCACTAAACTACTTGTTTCTGGGTAGTGGTGGTGCAAACCTTTAATCTCAGCACTTTGGGAGACAGAGGCTGGCACGTCTTTGAGTTCAAGACCAGCCCAGTCTACAGAGTGAGTTCCAAGACAGCCAGGGCTACATAGAGAAACCTTGTCTCAAAAACCAAAAGAAGAAGAAGAAGGAGAAGGAGAAGGAGAAGGAGAAGGAGAAGGAGAAAAGAAGAAGAAGAAGAAGAAAAAGAAGGAGAAATGGAAGGGGGAAGGTGGAGGGGAGAAAGAGGGAGAGGGGCAGGAGAGGGAGACAGAGGGAGGGAGAGGGAGAGAGGGAGAGGGAGAAGAAGGAGAAGAAAACTAACTGTATTTATGTACATTTGTATGGGGGAGCACATGCACTTGAGTACATGTATAGGAGCCCAGAAGACAACCCTTCCATCCATTGCATAGAGACATTGCTGAGAAGTAAAACTTCTCAGGAATGAGTAATGACAAAAGGCAGAACAGGGGGGTGAACTAGGTTGAGGTCAAGGTCAGCTGGTCTCAGAGGATGGAAGAAAGAAAAAGGGCTCAGAGACACCGAGAACAAGAACTACATTTCCCATAATCTTCTAGGTGGGTTCATGCCTGACTCTCATGACTGCAATGTGAGCAGGAAGTCTATCATTCTCCCATGGACTCCCATACTTCCTATCACCTTATTTCATTACAGCAGCAGCTGTGGATGGACTTGAGAGCTGAAAGAAACAATCCAGAGGAGGAACTTCAAAGAGCCTTCATGAAAAAGCCTGACTTCTAAGTTCAGGCTTCAAGGAGAATAATCTGAGACAACTGAGTTGGACTTTGTACAATCCAGAATTAAATTTCAAGTTGGGTGGGATGAGACACACCTGGAATCCCAGCAACTGGGAGATGGAGAAAGAAAGAAAGACCAATTCAAAGTCAAAGTATAGCAATATATCAAGCTGTAGGCTAACTAACCTTAGGCTACCTCTGACTCAAACAAACAGATGAACTATTTGGTTTCAGTGGTAGAGCTCTTGCTTAGTGCCTTGGGTTGGATTCTTAACATCACAAGGTAGGCATGATGGCTCATGCTTTTAATCCCAGAATTTCAGCACTTGGGGAGGCAAGAGGCAGGTGGTTGTGAGCTCGAGGCCAGCCTGGTCTACAGATGGAGTTCCAGTATAGCCAGGGTTACACAGAAAACTGTGTCTCAAAAATCAAAACAAACAAACAAACAAAAACAAAAAACAAAACAACAACCAAACAAAGATTCCTAACACCACGTTACAAAAAGTCAGATTCGGATCATGCCCACCCCCCACCCTGTGCATACATACAATTGCTTCATACAGGACCAGCCAATGAGAAGACTCAACCTACTCAACAAACAGTACTGGGGAAACTGAAAACACACACACACACACACACACACACACACACACACATCAAGTGTGGAGGAGCTTGACGCATCCTGAGCATCCTTTGACTGAGCATCAAAGATGGAGGCTCAGTGGTTGAGAGTGCTGGCTGCTCTTGCAGAGGACTCAAGTTTCAGGCATTAAAAAATGAAATAAAATGGAACTCTCACCTGACATCATGTGCAGACAGCAACTCAGAATTGATCCATGGTCTAAATTTAGAACCCTAAACTAAAAAAATAAAAATAAATAAATCTTAGAAAACAAATGTATGGCAAAATCAATCTCAACATTGGATTGGACAGTGATTTATAAATGGGTATGATATCAAGTTACAGATGAAAGACAGAGAAAGGAAGAGAAGAGGGAGGAAGAGGAAGGGTGAAGGGGGAGAGGAAAAAGGAAAGGAAGAGATCAGAAAGAAATCCAAAGGAAGGGAAAACAGGATGGAGAATGAAGGAAAGAGGAGAGAAAAGGTGGATTTCATGAACATCTAAAAACTGTGTGCATCAAAAGTCACAGGAATTGGTGCCTAGCCCAGCCTTCATCAGAGAGGGTTCATACAGCAACTGATGGAAGTGGAGCAGTAAAGAATATAGGAGGCATGGGGGGTCAAGGACACCCCAAGAAAACCCACGAACCCAACTAACCTGGCCTCACAGAGACTGAAGGGAACGAGAGTCTCCGAGGGATCAGCCTAGGCCCTTTGCATACATGTTAGTGTTGTATAGTCTGGTCTTCCTGTGGGACACCTCACAGTCAGAGCAGGGGTTGCCCCTGACCATTTTCCTCATACCAACTGGCCTCTTCCAGCCTTAATACAAGGAGAGGTGCCTAGTCTTGCTGCAAATAGATATGCCATGTTTAGTTGATATCCATTGGAGCACTGTCCTTTTCTGAATAGTAATGGAGGAGAAGTGGATGGGAGAGGGACTGGGAAGAAAAGAGGGATGATAAGTTGTAGTTGGGATATAAAAATAATAACAGGAAAATCACAAAAATAAAAAGACGACCTATAGAATGGAACAAAGTATTTGCAGATCATATATTTGATAGTAGAGTGTTCAGAAAATCCCATAATTCAACAACAACACAGCACAAATTAAAGGGGGAGGGAAGACTTGAATAGACATTTCTCTAAAAAAAATGACTAGTTGACATTGGAGAACATACGAGAAACCTAAATTAAATCCACTGTGAGACACTATTCCACATACACTAGCATGACAAGAATAACAAAAAACAAATAGCAACAGAGCTCGTGATGGAGGGAAAAGCGGACACACACATGGTTGGGGTGTAAAGGGCACCTCCACCCTGGGAAACATACAGTAGCAAATGAGAGACTCAAAGCACAACCTGCAGTCCTCATCCTCCATGCCTGGATGCTCAAAGAGTGGAAAGGAAGTTCTCCAGGGTTTGTTTGCACACCGTGTTTACAGCACTACCTACAACAGCCAAGGCTGTAAGGAAAGAGAAAGGGGAGTCTTGTTGAAAAGCCATGAAAAGGTGTATGTATCAGATGGTGTTAAGGGCTGAGACCACAGTGTGCAGGGATGCACATTCTGGTGAGAAACAGAAGAACTATGAGGAGTGGTGCCTAGAGAAGCCAGGGCAGCAATTACTCCATGCATGGTGAAGCTGTGGAGACTTTCAGAGAAGCTCGTAGGGTTCCTGGGGACTTTCTGGGTTATGTTTTGAATCAGGAGTAGAAAGGTTTTCCTTGCTGTTTTGTTTCTTTAAGCATCCATGTGGGTTTTTTTGTTTTGTTGTTTTTATTGTTGTTTTCAAGTTAAAAGGTGTTTAAGATAAAAGGAATGGATTTGTGCTATAGAAAATAGTCTGGTAATTCTTCACAAAATTCTACACAAAATTCTCGTATGATCCAGCAATTCTAATTTCACAAGATTGCTCATCAGGTCACAGAGCTTACCTTCAAGCCTGAAGGACCTGATCTCAATCCCCTCAGGTCCCACATGGAAAAAGGATTTAAGCTACACAGGTTATCTGTCCTCTGGCATCTACATTCACCCAACAGCAGTCACTTGCACACATGCACTCACACCGCCCCCCACACAAACACAAACACACACACACTCATGCACGCACGCACACACAAGCTGTCAAAAGGAAGGAAATTGTCATACATGCTAGACCACAGATGGTCCATGAAGACATTTTACTACATAAAAGCAAGCTAGTTTGGAGGCAGAAAAAATACTGAACGATTTCACTTATAAATGTTAGTCAAAAGTCTGAGCAGAAAGTAGGATGTTGGCTGCCAGGGGTGACGGTTTGTTCAGCTGGGTCCTGGCAGTGGCTGTGTTTACAGTGTGTGAGCAAAATCAAGGCCACAGAATCGAATGTTTTCAGTATTTAAAACTGTATTGTATTTAAGTAGTGAAAAAATTGCACTGTATTTAAATGTAAGTTTTTTAAAAAAGATAAATTTTCCAGTGCCATTAAGATATATTAGATAGTCCAAAATAAGTTAATGCAAAGCCTTCTCCATAACCACATGTTGCCATCTTTTGGTAGAATGGCTGTATAAATGAAGCGCAGACGTGGGACTCAATGATAGAGGAAAGCCCCGGTGTCCCACTGGAGGATGTCTGGGGGCCTCAGGTAAGAAAAGAACTAAATTAGCATTTAAGATTAGCAAAAGCTTAGCGGAAACACTTTGAATTTAAATTGCTTAGGGCAAATAGAACACTACTTTTTAATTATTTCAAAATTTCTTGTCTTTAGTCTATGATTTTTCCCCCTCTGTGGACTCTTTGGTGAAAATTTAGTATTTACCACTAAAAATCTGAGTCTGGATGGTATGGACACCTTTTTAAAAATATGGAGCCTTTTAAAAGAGAAGTTGTCCTATGGGACTGGAGAGAGCATGTACTGCTCTTACAGAGAGTCTGAATTCTGTTCCCAAATCCATGTCACATGGCCCTTAACTGCCTGTAACTTCAGCATAAGGCGATCCAGTGCCGCCTTCTGGTTTCCTCTGGTTATCCATATCTACAAAGACACGTAGAGTTCAGCCTAAAATTAAATCTTAAGTAAACAAAATTAATAAAAAAAAAAAAAGCACAAGCTCCAAGAGAGAAGGGAGCTTTGTTCCTTCTGCTCACTGCTATATTCCCAGAACCTAAGTAACTGTAGATAATAAATATGTATTTATAGAGCTAATAATAAACTATGGTTCATCACCTCTAATAAGGACTTAAAACCATTAGGAATAAATGTAGTTATGGATTTAGTTCAAACCAAACTTGCCTCCCTGGTTATTTTTGTTGTTTTTAAAAGACACCCAAGGGTCTGGGTTGGGCAAACAAATTGTACAGAGGACATCACTGACTCTGTGGTGCTATTCAGCACAGACATACATCTAGCAATGAGTAGCATGGTTAACAATCAGGGAATGAGCCTGAACCAGCATGAAGCAGTCTCACAGTTCCAGCTTCAGAAGACATCAGGAATGAGCTAGTCTCCAGGAAGCTTGTTGGAATAGACAACTTGGTCTCACTCAAATTTATGATTCAGTAAATCTGAAGCAGGGTCCAGAATTCTTTCCGACCCCACCCCTTGTCCCTCTCCCGCCCCCCTGCCTCTCTCTCCTCCCTTCCCCTCCTCTCTTCGATGCCTTTCCATTCCCTTCTTTCCCCAGAACTGGAGATTAAAGCCAGGGCGTTGTGTAAGCTATGCAGGCGTGGTGAGTTGCAATCCAGCTCCTAAGCTCACAGTTCTAAAAGTTGTCAGATGAAACTGACGTTGCTGACCATGGGCCTTAGGCCTATACCTTGAAAACCACAGAAGTAGCTTACAACCAACGAAGATTCTGGAAGGAACATGTCAGGCCCTCAATCCTCACTCTACTGCAAGAGAAGCACGAGCCAGCTGTGCTTCTGAGAAGGAGCTCTTGGAACTCTAAGTTCTCAGAGAAAAATGTCTGAAAGCAAAAGTGGCATCTCTGTAGGTTTTTCAAGTTGGACTTGGAATAGATAGGGAGAGGATGGGCACTGAGGGCTGGCTAACTTTTCTGTAATACAGGATGGGGTTTGAGTCTCTGAACATGACCAAGAATCCTAGACAGAGCAGTCCTTGGCTAGAAACGGAGTGAGCCCATGAGTCTGGGGAGATTTGTTTTCTTGAGGACTAGGTAGCAGATGAAATCATAGCTTACAAATGAAAAAGAAGAGGGAAAAGATAATAATTGACCGGGCAGCTCAACAGTACGGCAGGAAACATCAAATATGACCCAGAAAGAGGAGCAGCCATTGGTAAATACAATCCTTTGTATCAAAAAAATAACAAAAGAGAAAATTAGAACAAAAATATTCCTGAGTCTCTCTATAAAAATGCACACAGTGATGGCAGGAAACAGGTCCTGATGCCCAGGTCCATTTTGTGGTGATGGGCAAACATCCAGTTCCCACACATAGTGCAAATGTCTCCTTTTCTTTTAATCAATTTCATGGTTCCATGTACTAACTCACTCAGTGAACAAGAATTCTCATAATCCAGTGTCGACGCAGAAAATATTTTGTATTTTCTTTTGCAGGGAGGGGGTCTCTCTCCATACCCCTGGCTATCCTAGAACCCACTATATAGACCAGGCTGACTTCAAACTCATAGATATATCTGCCTCTGCCTCCCTAGTGCTGGGATTAAAATGTGTGCCAGCACACCCAGCATCATGTGCATTTTCAAGTTGGTTTACATGAGCCTTTTATGTACTCATCACCTGTACAACCACATGCTGTTTGGCAAATGTAGCAGACATGCAGTGGCAGAAAGGTGAAGAGAGGGGAGAAATGGCAGAAGATGTGGATTCTTACTACTATGTTTGTATTTTATCATGAGGTATTATAATACTTCATTAGATACTTCATATGAACACATGTGCTTCATATGGGATTAGAGCATAATTCAGATAGATAGATAGATAGATAGATAGATAGATAGATAGATAGATAGATAGA